CTTCATTTTCTATATGGAGACTAGCATGCAAAAAAAAACCACACAGATGATCATTTGTCCCATATTCTCATCGTGTGTACTAGACATTAGGAACAATAACTTTACCAGGTTTTATAATCGGGTTGATTTATTGTTCCTCCCAAGAGTGTTTGCATAGGGAGATGGGATTGTTTCCTGATCTTGCTGAAGAGAAGTTGCTTAATGTGATTTTATGGTGGTTTTTTTTTTGGGGGTTTTTTTTCATAACAAACAACAAAACATGTTATACTTGCCTGCCCTGTGCAATGATTTTGCATAGGGCAGCCCCCCGATCCTCCTCTGGTGTCCCCCGCCAGCACTTGGGGGGGAACTGCACACAGAACAATTTTCCCTTTTAGTTCTACCTTAAAATGTCAATCTTTTTACTTTTAGTCCCCATTCACACTGATGTGAATTCCATACGGATAGTTTATTTATTATTTATTTCAGGTACTTATATAGTGCTGTCAATTTATTCAGCGCTTTACACATATATTGTACATTCACATCAGTCCCTAACCCTCAAGGGGCGTACAATCTAAGGTCCCTAACTCACATTTATGCATACACATATTTGGGCCAATTTAGACAGGAGCCAATTCACCTACCGGCATGTCTTTGGAGTTTGGGAGGAAACCGGAGTACCCAGAGGAAACCCACGCAGGCACAGGGAGAACATACAAACTCCAGGCAGGTGGTGCCGTGTTTGGGATTTGAACCAATGACCCTAGTACTGCCAGGTGGAAATGCTAACCATTTAGCCACTGTGCTGCCTATATTAGATCCAATCCGAAAGGCATAGATTTGCATGTCATCTGAAAAAAACATTGTTTGCTATGGAAGCTGTTCACATGTATGCAGTACGATTCTGATCCGGTTGAAAAAAAAAAAAAAGAGTCCTGTGCGAGTTTAGTGTGGGCTTGGTGCAAACTTTATCTCCAGCTATGCCAAATCCCTTCAGAAATCACATTATTTCGCATTAGAATTGCCCCTGTCACAACAGAAATTGCACTGTGGACTTGCATCAGATTTGCATCGCAGCAGTGTGATCCTAGCCTTAATAAGGGTACAGGTACACTGGGGTTTCTATGCTTGCTTTAAGCAACTATTTAGAAATTCTGTCTATCCTGTGAATATACAAACAGTGCAACTCCTGTTCTTTTTAAATCCCAACTGCAGCCAAAACCTTAGGAGGGTTTTTATCCAGTGTGACCCCCCCCCCCCCCAAGCATGAATAAGGGTAAACTCTCCAACGGGGACACAACCACGAGGAAAACACTTCTTGTGTGTATCTTGAGTTCTCTCCCACTTTCTGTGCAATCACCAACGAGGTAATGAGAGGAGATCTCCCAATAAGGACACAGATTGCGATAAAAAACTGAGAGGTTCTTTATTGTCTCCACTTTTGTCAGAATAAAAACATCCAAATTTAATAAAAATCCAATCCGCATGTGAGTGGAGTGGGCCGCCTCTGCAATCACAATAGAAAATTGGCAAGTTAATCAATAATGAAAATATTTCAATACAGTACAAAAGTATTTCAAATGCCTTGACGCACAAAAAGTTAAGTGTAAGTTAACTTATCAGAAGAAACGAATGTATGGAAAGGCAATCAACGCTTAGGGCCAGTTCACACCCTAGAAATGCAGTCCAGATACGTTTCCGCATGCACGTTTTTGACACGTTCCGGTGCATTTTTTCCCTTCTTGTTCTTCAGTTTAACCATTAGCCGCCCGGCCAATGGCCGTTTGGCGGCTTCAGAAGTGTCTCTGCACTCCGGGTGCACGCCATTTGGCGTGCTCCCGCACATGCGCTGTTTGCGGTAATGCAGAGCGGCGCAGCAGTGCGATCTGTCACCGGCCGTGCACCTCGGACACGGCCGATGACAGATCTGAGTACCGGCCCCCGTTGCTGGTACCATGTGACCTGCTGTGACCAATCACAGCAGGTCACATGACAGTTGTATACAATGGATGGCTTCATTCATGATGCCATCCATTGTATACTAGTGCCTAGCTGTGAATGGTCACAGCTAATCACATGCACATGTCATGTGATTAGCTGTGACCAAATCACAGCTAAGCACAAAAAAAAAAAAAAAAAAGCTGAATGAATCGATTTCATTCAGGTAAATGCTTGCTTATAGCAAAGTAATTCTTTGCTATAAGCAAATTGTGTAAAAAAAAAAAAAAAAAAAAAAAAAATACTGATCACTTCCCCAAAGTAGTACAATGTTACTATGGTAACATTGTACTACTTTGGTCATAGTAAAATATGAAAAAAAGATCTTAAAAAAAATTTTAAAAAATGTAATAAAAAATTAAATATAAAAAAAAAAATATTTTTTTTTTTCATACTGTCACCAGTCAGTGTCCCTGTTCACCGCCATGCCAGTTATATGATGACGCTGTACTGCACTGGTGACAGTATGTAAAAAAAAAAATAGTGAAAATAATTTTTTTAATTTTTTCATTTTCCGAAAAATTATGACAAAAAAATACAACTTCAAAAAACTCGCCATGCCTCTTATGAAGTACGTCCGACTGTCTACTCTGCAAAAAGGGGGTCATTTGTGGGATATCTGTACTGTTCTGACATTCTTGGACCTCAAGAAATTAGATTGGCTGTCAGTACTTCAGGACTGATCAATATTCAGATCTATACCATAGTTTGTGAACTCTATAACTTTCCTACAAACTAAAAAATACATCCTAATTTGGGTTATTTTCACCAAAGACATGTAGTAGAATACATCTCGGCTTAAATTTATGAAAAACAATTATGTATTTGTAAACTTTTATAGCAGAAACAAAGAAAAATGTGGGTTTTTTTTTCAAAATTTTTGGTCTTTTTTTGGTAATTTAGCAAAAAATAAAAACCCCAGCGGTGATTAAATACCACCAAAAGAAAGCTCTAGTTGTGTGAAGAAAATGATAAAATTTTAGTTTGGGTACAATGTTGTATGATCGCGCAATTGTCATTCAAAGTGTGAGAGCGCTGAAACCTGAAAAATGGCCTGGGCAGGAAGGTGTAAAATTGCACGGTATTGAAACGGTTAAATAGAGAGACGTGCGTTCTGGTGCGTTTTTTTTTATGCGTTTTACTGCGTTCCAGTACAGTTCTGTGCAGGAAAAATGCAGCCTGGTTTTTTTTGGGGGGGGGGGGGGGGGGTTCTGCAACCGGAACGCACTGGAACTGCAAGCACTGATGTGAACTATGACATTGACAACCATATAACTTACTTTAAGTGCGTTTTGGATGCAGAAAAAAAGCATACTGAAACTCCTATAGTCTGAACTGGCCCTTAGAAGGTCCACTGCAGTTTAAATGCATTGGTTAATTTTTGAATGATCTCAGAAACATCAAACTGATGGAATTGACGCAGGCCTTACAAAGGTTCTCTGTTTTGTTGCCCAATTGCAATAAAAAAAGTAAAAATGTACACATGGCCAATTCCTCAAGGTTTGGGAACCATGGGTGGCCTATTATGACAATTTGAACCTTGACCGCTGCATGCGCTTAACGTAATGGCATTGATGTAAACTACTTTTGTATCCCGCAGGGCTCCAATCCCCCCCCTTCCTTCTCTTCCCCCCTTCTTTCCTCTTTTCTTTCTGCCTCTCTTTTTCAGCCATTTTTTATTTTTCCAGTTTTGCGCTTTCTTTGGCCCCTCTCCTTTGTTGGCTTGTACAGAAAACCTGACTCACCTTCTCCCTCTGGGTTGCAGGCGATTCCAATCGTGTCTGAAGCGCAAATTCTGCATACTTGAGTTCTTTTTTCTCTTTTGTTTTTTTTGCATTTCCACGTGTTCTGGATGTATTGTTTCTGTTGTACTGCCTTGTCTGTCTTTGTACTGCCCTTGTAACAGTAGGTCTATTGGCACATTTCCTTCATTTCTTTGTATTTTATAGTCTCATTGCAACCTGTGTTCTTTGACACCATTGTCTTTTGTTGTCTATTTGCATCTTTGTTCTTTTTAAATTTCAATAAACTTTTCTGTAAAAGAAAGGAAAAAAAAGCAAAAAAATATGAATGAAGAATGAACAAAGTGGTAATATCACAAACGATAAATATTTCCATTGTCTTGGTTATAACAGAGTTAAAGTGTAAGTTCACCTTTTCAGAAAAAAATTTAGTAGTGAACTGTACCTTTTACACCCTCCCCACACCCAGTACCCCCATGATCTCCACTGTACTTACCTCTGTGGGTGATTAGCTGCCACTTCCCGTGCAGCAGTTTGGGGATTTGAACGCCCCACATTTCTTTCCTTAGGGATTCTGGGACAGATTGGATCTATTCTGATTGGTCGCCTGCTGGCACGTGACTACTTTGATCAATTAGAATAGCTGTGGTTGATCATTCCTGGCACCCATACAGAAAGAAGGGGAAGAAGACTTTCAAATCCCCAGACTGCTGCATAGGCAGTGACCCAAGGTTACATCTGAGCTGAGCTGTTCTTACTAATAATTTATGGCCCTGCACATTTTGTTTTATTGTGTTCTTCCATTGTACAGGGTGGCAGAACGGAGTATATGGTGTATTAGACCTGCAGGATTTTAGTCTGTTCAGGACACACAGAGTATGTATTAGTTCTGTTTATCACCATTAGATGTCAGTGTGGTTGCTTGTACTGCCCGCAGGTCCCTTTTGAGTGTATTATCAGGAACATCTTGTAAATCATCAGTTTAATTTATGCTACTAATTTGGCCAGGTGTAAAGATAGCATGGAATTATTGTATAATTTATTTTATCTGATATGCTGCAGTGAGCCTTATGAAGTGGCTTATTTTCATTATCTGAGTACATAATTCAAAAGGGCCAAAGGCAAGTTGATTTTTTTGCTGTTTACCTAGTAAGTGGTGTTGAAAGTTTACTTAAGGAGATAAAGTTGCTTCAAAAGATTCTTGTTTTTGTTTGACCTGCCCTTATAGCAAGGTTCAAGTAAACGTATTTGAATAGCTAACCTCAATTGTTTTCTTAGGACGCACCTTCCCGACACACCCATACTTCTCAGCCCAGCTGGGAGCAGGACAGCTGTCACTGTACAACATTCTGAAGGCCTATTCCTTGCTGGATCCTGAAGTGGGTTACTGCCAAGGACTCAGCTTTGTTGCCGGAGTTCTGCTTCTACACATGAGCGAAGAAGATGCCTTTAAATTGTTGAAGTTCCTCATGTATGACATGGGCCTGAGGAAGCAGTATCGGCCCGATATGGTCACTTTACAGGTATACCTTCAACAGCTATATAACACAATAACATCCAATAATTCCCAGAAAATACAAATGTTTAGTCTTGCTTTCCTCGTCCTCTTGGCCCAATATTGTAGTGTTCTGTTAATGCTGCATTAGAAATGTATTGTAAATGGTATAGATAAGGGTGTGAGCAGAGTTCCACTTTGTTAGGTAACCCTACCAGTACATAAGGCTGCAGATGGTTCCCATACAAACTCATATGTACTTTGCTATGGACAGGTGGAAATCTGTAGATGAAACCCATTATAAACATGTCGCTAGTCACAAAAAGTTGCAACGTGCATATATATATGTGTGTGCGCGCGTATATGTATGTGTGTAGGTGTGTGTAGGTATGTGTGTGTGTGTGTATGTATGTATGTATGTGTATATATACATACAGTGGGGCAAAAAAGTATTTCGTCAGCCACCAATTGTGCAAGTTCTCCCACTTAAAAAGATGAGAGAGGCCTGTAATTGGCATCGTAGGTAGACCTCAACTATGAGAGACAAAATGAGAAAAAAAAATCCAGACAATCACATTGAGATGAACTTTTGATATTGATCAAATACTTATTTTCCACCATAATTTGCAAATAAATTCTTTCCAAATCAGCCAATGTGATTGTCTGGATTTTTTTTTCTCATTTTGTCTCTCATAGTTGAGTTCTACCTATGATGCCAATTACAGGCCTCTCTCATCTTTTTAAGTGGGAGAACTTGCACAATTGGTGGCTGACTAAATACTTTTTTGCCCCACTGTGTGTGTGTGTGTATATATATATATATATATATATATATATATATATATATATATATATATATAGTAAAAAAAATGGTCAAAAAAATGGTCAAAATGATTTTCAAGTGATTGTAAAACTTTTTTTTTCTTCTGGGGTCATCTGTCTGCAGTCTTGGCTCCTCCTCTTCTTCGAGTGCCTCCATAGCAAGCCACTTGTTTTGGGGGCTCTCATGCAGGCTCAATCCCAAGCCAGGCTGTGTGTGTCCATGGAGTTTGACTCAACCTCCGCTCCTTCCTCGCAGGATTTAATTGACAGCAGCAGGAGATAATGACTCCCACTGCTGCCGAGTCTCCTGTAAGAAGAAAGAGGGGGGGAGAAGAGCTGCTGCATACGGACAAAGTATTTGATCGAGATCTGGCTCAGATAAATGTTTAAGGGGGGCTAGGGGGAGCAGCTTTTGAAAGGTTCTTACCTTAATTCAGAGCATGAATTAAGGTTAGAAATGGGGAGGCACCTCTATGGCTGTAATGTTTCGGACAAAAACACCCCTATCGGCCTTTGGCTGATATGAAAATAAGCATCGGTACAAGTGCCGAAAATAACCCTGCTCCTCGCGCTTCCACCAGCGCTGGGCATAGAGATAAGTGAAGGAAAGATGGCCTCCACTCATCTCTATGTCCTTGGAGGACCAGAGCGACATCACTTCCGTTTCTGGCACCTTGTAAACAAGGCCTTTTTTTTTTTTTTCAAAGCACTAGATCAATGCTTTCTTTGATCTAATGCTTTACATTGTAGAGATGTGGGGTCTTATTGACCCCATATCTCTCCATAAAGAGGACCTGTCATGCTTATTTCCATCACAAGGGATACATGCATTCCTTTTGATAGGATTAAAAGTGCTTACATTTTTTTTTCAAGGGAAAGTGTAAAAAAAAAAAAAATAATAAGTTTAAAGTTCCCTCATCCCCCGTGCTCGTGCATAGTGGTGATTTCATAGGTAGGCCACACCCACATATATAAACTGTGTTCAAACAACACAAGCGAGGTATCACCACGAACGTCAGAGCAAGAGCAATAATTCTAGCACTAGACCTCCTCTGTAACTTTACACTGTTCACCTGTAGAAACTTTTAAAGGGTCACCCATGGAGATTTTTAAGTGCCATAGTTTGACGCCATTCCATGCGCATGCGCAATTTTAAAGCATGACATATTGGGTATTTACTTGGCGTAACATCATCTTTCATATTTTACAAACAAATTGGGATATATATATATATATATTTTTTTTTTAATCAGAGTGTATTTTTTTTTTAAATTGCGTTTTGAAAAATATATTAAATTTTAAAAACTGTCCATTTCGGTTTTCGGCCAAGTGCACCCTGAATTTTCGGTTTTAATACCAGAATTTTCAGTGCACCACTAGTTAAGAACCTTTTGCCTTCATCTAAACAGTAAAGCTGAACTCCAGTAATTTGGCCACTTTCTAAAATATTCTGTATTACTATGGGTATATGCCACCTCGTGGACTTGTCTCTTTAATTTACAGATTTTATTTTTACTGATGCTGGACCTTCTGGTCTCAGCTTCTGCAGCTGCAGAGTTGTATCCAGCCACTCTGCCCACCCTCCCTTCCTCCTGCCCATTTACAGGAAACTTTTTATTATGTGAATCCATTCATAAAATACAAAGCCGTGAGATGGGCAGAGCTGCTGTATAGGAAGGCAGTGTCTCACCTGTTGGCGTACCAAGAGTTATAGTGATAGATGTAATCTTGGTGTTCATTACAACTGTCAGATGTAAATTAAAGAAATAAGTCCAGGAGGTGGAATGCACCTATAGTAAGCCAGCAGATTTTGAAAAGTGGCTAAATTGCTGAAAGTCAGCTTTAGGCCTCTTTCTACAGCCGGTTTGTTGCGGCCACCAGATTCCTGCAGCAAGAATCTGTGGATTCTTGCTACTGGAATGACCAGATCAACCCATTTAAACTAATGGCGAGCTGACTGTGGGTGCTGATGATCACATGTAGCCGCACACAGTGTGATTAGCTGCGGTTTGGTACAGATGTCTGAGTCTGGACGCAGTGAGCTGCTTATTGAATAACCTGGTCATTTCCAGCAGCATGAATCCGCAGATTCTAGCCATAGAAACCCGGCTCCACAACAAACCAGCCGCGTGAAGGAGGACTTAAATATTACAATATCATACTTCACAAATACATAATGTTACGGGATTTTATTGAGGTACAAGTTCTGTATATTCACTTACTCTAACAAGGCATAACCATCCTGAAATCTGTCAAATAAACTGATGGTTTGTTTTAGGTTTGTCTGCTCCTATTTATTTTACAAATGTTTGTTGTAAACTGTCTACCAGTGATGATGGATAAGTGAATGATTAGCAAAGTGTTTAGAAGAGATTCTTTCCAAGTGCTGATTTCCTTCTGATTTCCCTTGTGATTGTACCCTTCTTCTGAAATATCCCTTTGTAAATATAAATATTGTATATAGTATGCATGCATCTGAATGTATTTTGTTATTCTCCTCTTAGATTCAGATGTACCAGCTGTCTCGCCTTCTCCATGACTATCACAGAGATCTGTACGACCACCTGGAGGAATATGAGATAGGCCCCAGCCTCTATGCTGCCCCTTGGTTCCTCACCATGTTTGCTTCCCAGTTCCCCTTGGGCTTTGTGGCCAGAGTGTTTGGTAAGTTTTGAAAGCAAACATGTATATGATGTTATTCTTGTTCTGTATCCAGGGCTGGCGATGAGAGAAATGGTGGAATGAAATGCTAATATAAACTGAAGGGTGCAGCTGGAAGAAAACCCTTTTCATGCCTCCAGTGTGCAGATCTGTGTTCTTGGTCTGTCCTCTATTTAGACATAAAAGGGTTGTTGCCCTGTCCTATATATGATGTAAGTAAATGGTGCTAGATTTGGCTCACCATATAGCACTCTTTAATTTCTCATACTATATGTAGTGATTATGTTTCATAAAAACTTGAATTGGTTCTATGTGCATCATTTTTACTTTCATGGCCATTGTATGTATGCATTTGGACAATACATATCTTCAGAAAGTCATTGGCACAGTGAGAATATTTTCACCACAGCAACTGTTCATGCTAAACTGACAACTTAAACCATTTTGTTTTGTTTTTTGAAATTGTGGTCAAAGTTGAAGAAAAAAAATTGTTTTTTGTGGGGTTTTTTTTCCCCCTTTTTTTATTTATTTTTTTCTTTCTTACATCTTTGTCTATAGATTGCATACGAAATAAACTCATTTTGGCAAGACATTATCAGCAAAAGCTTCATTTGCACAACCCCCCCATCCGAAAAATGTTAAATATATATATATATTTATATTTATATATATATATATATATATATATATAAATCATGCACACAGACACAGTGAGACAATTTAATTCCCGGATTGCCTGCAGCATAGCACTATGGTGAGTCACACAGCCATTCTCACTCGAATATGTTCTGACATGTTCTAACTTGCACTCGCCTGAGTCACAGACCAGTTGACTTTCAGAGTAGTAGAAGACATAACACGTATGTGCATTGCGCTGTTGCCGGAAAATCAGCGACAGGAATCTGGAGTAGCGGATTAATGTCAGAATTTGTGTGAAAATTGCCAAAAGTGCAGGAGAAACTCTAGCTCTGTTACAACAGCCTTATGGTGAACATTCCATGGAGACAATAAGTGTTTTTAAATGGCATAGGTAGTTAAGGAGGGGCTGGAAGATGGCCACGATGACACAAGAAGTGAACAGAGTTCAGGATCTCATTCGCTGAAATTGAAGATTGAGTATGTGAATGATGGTAGAAGAATTGAACTTGAACAGGGAAATATGAAAGGTTTCCGCAAAGATGATGCCTCAAAAATCTTGATAAAAGATCAAAAAGTTTGTAGTTTTCAAATTTCATCCAATCTTTTGAAGAATGCAGAGTTGTATATTTTCTTTCTTTTTTTTTAACAGACCTTTCCAGGAATTAGATTGTCACACCTTATATATAATATAATCTGTAGATCCATAGCCCATTTCTTTTCTCTCATTGTGACTGGTAGGTTTGAAAAGTACATTTACATATTTTTGCAGTTAAATTGGTTTATAACACCTACATAATTTATATGACATTTGCTCATCCACATAACCAAATGAAAAAATTGCTGCGTTCCTTTTACTTGCTCTTTTCTGAAAACTCCAAAACTGAAGATTTCCTTTGCTATATAGAAGAATCTTGGGAGTTAATATTTACTATAATTAACCCTGTCTATACTGTGCTGCCAGGATAGCATTATGTGTAAACTAGTTTTGAACATGGTCTGCCCAAACAAAGGGTTAAAGATCTAGACACTGACCTTCTTCATTGTATGTTAATGAGGGGAAACTGCATTCTCCTTATATATCTATGGCAGAACAATAAGTTTCCTCTCATCAAATTGTGAGAGTAGCTTGCAGTCTGCCTGAAGTCTGCTCCAAACAAACACCTGGAACGGTAAGAAATATTCTTTACATCTTTACTTTGCGGGTGATCTTCAATCCAACAAGCACTTTAAGGGCAAGGATCCTGGGCTGCTTGTATTAGGGAATGTAATAGGGGAGGAATATTTCATTCTATAATTATTATTCTTGAAGATTTCATTGGACGTGTACTTTGTCTAATGTAGTTTGTAAAGACAAGTACCTTCCCCCAAGGAGATGAATGTATCTGTGGGTCTATATATTTCACCAGCAGTTTCCCTGTCAGAACACAATAGCTCAGTGGGAAAGTCGCTGTACTAACTGCAGTGTGAGCTCCTCCCGAACACCTTAGTTTGTTTCTTTTTTTTATTTTGTTTTTTTCCAGTCAGCTCGCTGGGTTGAACAAAAAAAACTTAGTCTGTTCCATGTTGAAGAATCAGTGGAAATTTCTTACACTTTTGATATAACAACTTTTGTTTTGCATATTTACCAGCCCAAAGGAATACAAGAAAAGTGCATTGTTAGGATTCACATACACTTTAATAGTAGATAGCTGATATGAGAAAATGCTTGACCTGTTACCAAGTGTGACTTCTGTGAAAATACATGGGAGGAAGGGGTGGAACTTTGTTTTTTTTATCCAACTTCATTGCCTTTGTTATTAATATTATACAGGATTTATATAGTGGCAACCGTTTGTGCAGTGCTTTACAAAATGAAGGTAGACATTACAGTTACAATACAATTTGGTACAAGAGGAAACAGAAGGGCCTTGCTTGCTAGAGCTTACAGTCTAGGAGGAATGGTTGAGTGACACAAAAGGTAATAGCTGTGGGGGGATGAGCTGATGGAGGAAATAAATGGCGGTTTACTAGGTAGAAGCAGGATAGGCTTCTTTAAAGAGAGGTTTTCAGGGATCGTCTAAAGGTGGATAGATTAGGAGACAGCTGGACAGATTGGGTTAGGGAGTTCCATAAGATGGGAGAAGCTCATGAGAAGTCCTGGAGGCGAGCATGGGAGGAGGTGACATGGGAACTAGAGAGCAGAAGGTCTTGGGAGGATCGAAGAGAGCGGTTTGATTGATATTTTGAGACCAGGATGGTGATGTAGCTGGGGGCAGAGTTGCGGATGGCTGTGTAAGTTGTTAGTATTTTGAATTTTATTCGTTTGGCAAGTGGAAGCCAGTGGAAGGATTGGCAGAGGGGGGTAGCAGACACTGAATGGTTGGTAAGGTGGATAAGCCTGGCAGCAGTATTCATGATGGACTGGAGAGGGGGATAGCCTATGTAAAGGTAAGCCAATGAGGAGGGAGTTACAGTAGTCAGGCGAGAGTTGACCAGGGAGGGAATTAGGAGCTTTGTGGTATCATTGGTTAAAAAGGGGTGTATTCTGGAGATGTTGAGGAGGTTGAGGAAGGCATGATTTGGACAGGGATTGGATGTGGGCCTTAAAGGATAGTTCAGAATCCAGGGTTACCCCTAGCACGCTGGCATGCAGGGATAGGTTGATAGTGGTGCTGACATCCAGTCTGATATGTCTGTTAGTAAATCGGTGATACGTGTGGAAACTGATGGAGTGAGCTGAGTAGTAGAGAGATAGATTTGTGTGTCATCAGCATAGAAATGGTATTGGAAACCATGGGAAGCTGTCAGCTGACCCAAGGAAGAAGTTTAGATTGAGAATAGGAGAGGTACAAGGACAAAACCTTGGGGGACCCCGACAGTAAGAGGAGTAGGAGAGAAGGAAGTAGATTTGTAAGTGACACTGAAGGTGCGGTGAGATAGGTAAGATTTGAACCAACGAAGAGTACAGTCACGGAGACCAAGTAAATAATTTTTTGAGGAGGAGGGGGTGGTCAACTGTGTCAAATGCAGCGGAGAGGTCCAAGAGGAAGTGTACGTAATAGTGATAGTGGTTTTAGCGGTTAGTAAGTCGTTTGTGAGTTTTAGGAGAGCAGTTTCTGTGGAGTGTTGTTGTTGAAATCCAGACTGAAGGGGATCAAGAAGGTTATTTTCAATAAGGTGGCAGCTCAGCTGGTTTAGACTAGACATTCAAGGCGTTTGGAGGCAAAAAGAGATGGGTCTTAGGTTGCCAAGGTTGGTGGGGTCCAGTGAGGCTTTTTTAAGTATGGGGGTGACTAGTGCAGGTTTTAGAGAGTTGGGGAACTTGCCAGTAGAAAGGGAGAGATTGAAGATACGAGTTAAAGAATGAAGGATAGAGCCAGAGGGTGACCATAGTATTTGCGAGGGACAGGTCCAGGGGACAGGTGGTTAGGTGGGCTTTAGAAAACCGTTTACCAACCTCCTCTATAGTAGCTTGGTTAAACAAGGGAAGTATAGATTGTGCAGGTGGACAAGGAGTGTAGGGCGAGGGAGATATCTGTACAGTGGAGATCTCATCACGAATTGCATCAGTCTTATTTTTTAAGTGTTTAACGATCTCCTGGGCAATGAGTGAGTTAGTGGGTGGAGGTAATGAAGGATGAAGTAGAGAGCTAAGGGTAGAAAAGAGTTGACAGGGATTGTGTGAGAGGGTGTTCGTGAAAGTGATAAAATAGGTCTGTTTGGCACTGTGGAAACAAGAATTGTATTTTTGAAGGGCAGATTTATATTGGTCGAAGTCTTGCTGGGTCTTAGTCTTACGCCATAAACACTCAAGAGCACGGCTACGTTTTTTGAGAGATCTGGTATTGTCTGTTTGCCAGGGCTGTAGCGGTCAGGGCCTAATTCTGTGTAGTGAGGGGGGCCAATGTGTCCACGGTGGATGACAGTGAACTATTGTAGACGGAAGTGTCAACATATACATGTTCTGTGATTAGTTTACCATTACTTTATAGGGTTCTAGTACTTTCTAATATGGTCACCTTGTTTCCTTCACAATGATGTGTCTGTCTATATATCTGTTTTTAATGGTCCATCCATCTTTCTTTAACCCACCTAAGGCTTCTTTTTCAGATGTTTTAAAATTCTTGGCATTTTTGTTCTTTACCTTGTAGTTTCAGATGCCGCCTCTGCTGCTTCTCCCTCCAAATCTCCTTATATGTGTCACAGACCTGTCCTTTCCTCTCTTGACTAGTGTCAGCTTTTGAAGCTGGGAATTAGAAAACTTATGACATTTGACCTTGTTTAGCAGCATATTCTTGCATCTAAATCTCCCTTACCTCTGAAGCCCAATCCACATTTGAATTGTGCTTCAACTCCATTTCTGCTGACAAACGTGTCACAACCAA